CCAAAATGCGGATAAGGCTTGAGAACAACTACACAGGCTGGGTACTTTATTCCTGAAACTTGAGTCCTTTTTTTTTTCTGAACCGCGCATGCGCTTTGCGAACCGTTTTTCAACATGGCTCCTTCTCATAGGCTCCGGCCTTCAACTCCCAGAGTCCCTCCCCCTCCGTCGTCACGGCTGAGAATGCTGGGATTTGAAGTCTTCGAAGTTATGGCGGTGCAAGCCGCGCGACGTGTGGAAGCGGGTTAGTGACGTCATCGAGGGACGACGCGGCGCTTCTTTCCGAGCCGCAGCGGACGTGCGGGCGGCGGGTGGAGGTCAGTCCTCGCTCTGCGACGGCGGCCCTAGGAAGGTAAGGCGCCTCCCGGCATGGTTCTCGCGGCACCAAGGCCTACATCCTCGGCTGCCGGTGGAAAACAGGCCGGAATGAGGCAGGCCGTCCGTTCATCTCCCTTGTCAGTGCGAAAACCACGGGCTGGTCTCCTTTTCCTTGGACTACATAGCCCATCACTGTCGCCCAGAGGCACGGGGCCTCAATGCTGGCCACGGGGAAGCCGATCCTGGAATGGGGAGGCATCCCGAGGCCATCCAGTCCAGGCCTCTCGCAGAGCGGTTGTCCCGGATTCGCTTAACGACTGTATCAATCCAGGTCGTAAAACGAGGCAGAGTTGACTGAACGACTGCTTTGCTTAGCCATTGTTCATTACAACTCGTCTTTATGACATTTCGTTTAGTGCCCTTTCAAAGTTACAGCGCTAAAAAATCTTGGGTTCCATTGTGGTCGTATGTCGAGGACCACAGCCTAGCTTTGCTTATCAGGGTGGGGGGAATTATGGGCTTGGATCGTGGTCCAGGATGTACAACCGCAGTCGCACCCCAAAACTTCTGTTCCTGAGCGAGAGCGTCGTTAAGTGAGTTTTGCCCTGTTTTTACGACCTTGCTTGCCACGGTTGTTGTGAATTGCCGCTGTTGTTAATAGTAACACAATGTTAAGTGAATTGGGCTTCCCCGGGGACTTTGCGAGGAGAAGTTTGCAAAAGCAGATCAACATGACCCCTGGGACACAAACCGGTTGCCAAGCGTCCAAACTAGGATCATATGACCATGGGGATGCTGCAATGGTCATAAGTATGATAATCGGTCGTAAGTCATTTTTTTCCAGTGCTGTTGGTTCCTAAACAAATAGTTCTACCTATATTTTACTACCTAAAAAGCAAAGACGATCATTAGTTATATAGAGAGGCATAGAATCAAAATCATGTGAAGTATTAAGGAAAGGAAGGGAATGATAGAAGGTGTTGACGCTACAGGAACCCTGAGGGCAAGTGATCATGCAATATTGGAATTCAACATTATGCAANGCTTTCGTCGAGCGCGATTTTGTCCTCCGCGCTTTTGACGGGTCACGATCATTACTACTATCATATTGCGTTGGTCCATGGTGACATTGTCACGACCAGTTCAGGCACTTGAGCCAGGAAACCCCTTCGCCATGTCCAATAGCCGTGCATTACCAGCCACGGGTGGGTTTCTCGGTTCAGGATCCCCAGCCTGCAGTTTGACGTCTTCCTCGAGGTTCCAAAGCCTTGTGTGGGTATATTTGCCCAGTCGCCAAGATGCCGAACTGGTCAGCTTATCCTGGGTTTCCAAGCCTAAAGTGGGCATCTCATATGGTTCCCGAGCCGAGCCATGTGTTCGCATGAACTGCCAAATTCCAGTGACTGCTTTAGTATTTAATATTGAATTTACGTGCCACGTTCTTCAGCGTCGCTTCTGGGAATTGAACCTGTTCGACCTGACCGAAGGCCCCGCAAATAAGGCGTGGATCCAGAAATCCGCCAAACATCTTTTCTGTTCTGACCCAGGCTTCAAAAATGTAAATAAATCACAAAGCAGCCTAATGTGAATTCCACTCATTCACAATGTTTTTCACCAGGTGATTTTTGTTTCACCAAATCGTGCGATGGAATTGGTGGCACGGCTAAACCCTCTAGCTCAGTGTTTCTCAACCTTGGTGGCTTTTAAGTCCTGTGGACTTCAACTCCCAGAATCCCCCAGCCAGCACACCTGTGCTGGCTGGGGGATTCTGGGAGTTGAAGTCCACTGGACTTAAAAGTCGCCAAAGTTGAGAAACACTGCTCTAGCTGCTTCAGCCAGCCTCCAGCGACCATCAGTTGGCCGAATGGTGACACCGGCGGATCTGTTTCACGTCTTGCTTGTGTGCTTACAGCGCCTTCAGTCACATCGTCAGGTTGACAGGTTCGAATCCCGGAAGCTCCGCTAAAGAACGTGGCAGGTAAATTCAATAATACATAAGCGATCGCTGGAATTTGGCAGTTTATACAAATGGTATGGACTTTGGCTTGGGAATCACACGAGAAACCCACTTTAGGCTTGGGAACCTAGGATAAGCTTCCCAAAATTGTCGGCTTGAAAACCCTACATATACCCATGCGAGGCTTGGGAACTTCGAGGAAGAAGCCAAATTTTTGGCTTGGGATCCTGGACCATGGAATTACCACCACCCCTCCCCTCCATAGAAGATGGGATCCACTTAATTTTCTTTTTTTTTTTAATTGAAATTTTTTGGGGAAAAAAAACCTTTTACAAATNGTGTTTCTCAACCTTGGCAACTTGAAGATGTCCGGACTTCAACTCCCAGATTTCCCCAGCCAGCGAATGCTGGCTGGGGAATTCTGGGAGTTGAACTCCGGGACATCTTCAAGTTGCCAAGGTTGAGAAACACTGCTTTAAAGAACCAAGAGTTGGGACCATGAAGATCATCTAGTCTGACTCCGCTCAAGCAGGAGGCCTTTACAGGCGTTGGAAGACACCTGGGAGGTCCTCTAGTTCTAGTCCAACCCACTGCTCTCTTAACAGCAAACCCTAATCCAGAATCACAGGCTTGGAAGGGACCTCAGAGGTCATCTAGTCCGACCCCAGTCAAGCAGGGGAGACCTTTTGGAATGACAGAAACCCCCCCCCCACCGCTCCAGCATACCTTTACAGAGTTAGGGAATAAGAGGGTTGGAAGGGGACCTCGGAGGTCATCTAGTCCAACTCCGTCTCAAGCAAGAGATCCACAAACCACAACAATATACCCACCCCAAATTGTTCGTTCTGTCCGGCTGGGGAAGATGGGCGTCGTGAGGTAACGAGGGGATGGTGGGGAAAGAATGAGCGCCCCCCGCCCCCCAATTCAAGAGGGGATGGCAGGGGATCATGGGCTTTGTAGTACGAATCTCCCCCCCACCCCCACTCCGGTAGAAAAAGGAGAGACACGACTGCCTTTCGGAGCCTACAACGCCGGCTCCGGGAGAGAAGAAGCCTCGGCCTCACCTAGCTGGGCTTTGCCGCGTCAGGCGTCGTGACCGCTTTCGAGCTTCTCCGCTCCGGCGATTTCCCCCTCAGCCGTCGGCTCCGCTACATTCCCGCAGCATCGGAAGTGGCTGGGCCGGAAGAGGCGGGACTCCCCGGGCCGGTTTTGGAGAAGGCGGCGAATCCCGGCTTTCGCGGAGACAAGATGGCCGACGGGTGGGAGGAGGGAGCGCGAAAAGGACGACGGGAATCGTAGTCGAGCGTCTCCCTGAGGCGTCTCCCGCGCTCTTTTTAATCGGAATTGCGACGGAGGAGAAAGAAGGATTAATTCGGGTTTAGCGGGGTGGGATGGAGGCGAGCACTCCCTAAATTGAGGCGTTTTTTCTTTCCCGAGGCCTTTATTTTTTCTGAAGCGCGCATGCGCGCTGAAAACGTTTCCCCCCCCCCCTTGAGCCCTCATGAATAGCGCGGACTTCCATTCCCAGAGTTCCTCCTCGTACATCGTCTCGGCTGAGAATTCTGGGATTGGAAGTGCTCGGCGGTCTTTATTTCTAAACACAGCCCTTTTCTTACCCAAAATGCGGATAAGGCTTGAGAACAACTACACAGTCTGGGTACTTTATTCCTGAAACTTGAGTCCTTTTTTTTTTCTGAACCGCGCATGCGCTTTGCGAACCGTTTTTCAACATGGCTCCTTCTCATAGGCTCCGGCCTTCAACT